GTTAATTTTGCTTTCTTTCTTCAAAAGCATTTTTGGTAGGTAACAATTCAAGTTTGGCTGCTGCCTTCCTTCAGAACACTTGAAGGATCTTTCCACTGGGTCCTGTGGCTATGGGAGAATCCGTTGCTGGTCTCCTTTGAAGGCAATGTCATTTTCTGACTGTGTTTATCTCTGGCTTTCATGTGCCTTTAATGTGCAGGGTGTAGATGTTTTGAGCTCTGATTGGGGATTTGCTAGTTTCTTTAAACACAGCCTCTGTCCACACTATTTCATTTTCTTCTAGTACAATAATTAGAAGAGTCTTTTACTCTTTGAAATTCTCTTTCAGCCTCATTACCCTCTATGTTGGTTTTCCATATAATATTTTTTTAAAGATTTTATTTTTATTATTTTTTTATTGGAAAGGCAGATATACAGAGAGGAGAGACAGAGAGGAAGATCTTCCGTCCGGTGATTCACTCCCCAAGTGAGCGCAACGGCCAATGCTATGCCAATCCAAAGCCAGGAGCCTCTTCCGGGTCTCCCACGCGGGTGCAGGGTCCCAAAGCTTTGGGCCGTCCTCAACTGCTTTCCCAGGCCACAGGCAGGGAGCTGGAAGGGAAGCGGGGCTGCCGGGATTAGAACCGGCGCCCATATGGGATCCCGGGCGTGCAAGGCGAGGACTTAACCACTTGCGCCACCGCGCCGGGCCCTCCATATAATATTTTTAACTTCATATTGCAATTCACTAACTTTTTAAACTATATCAAAGCTTGCTATAACATTCATTCCCTGTGTTTTTCAATTATCATACTTTTATTGTTTGAAATAAAATCTTTTATTTCTTTGGTTCTTTTCCAAATATGTGTGCTCCTTGTATTTTAAAGATTATTTTCTTTCTTTTTTAAATTTTATTTTTAATGTTAATAATTGAGAGGGATGTATGCCCACGTGGGCCCCTGATTAGGGTGGGGAGGGTCAGGTCCGGAGGAAGGTGGGTGGGACACATATTTATTTCAATTCCGCTGTTTTTGACCTGTGTCTGCAGGGAAGGACAGGGAGAGGGCCACTCCTTGCTGTCAAACTACATCAGCACCTGGGGATGGGAGGTGGTCCTTTGATGATGCACAGAGATTCCACCGTGGAAAAGTGTTCAGAGGGTGTGACTTGAGGGTTTCAATAGCCCTGAGATGTTGTCAGCATTGTTGATCCAGGATTGAGAAATACCTTATTTCTTAAATATATCAAATACTTTAGTCTGCATCTGAAAACTTTTCTAGTTGAATATTCTCAATCTGATTCTGCTTGATATTTTTACTGCTGGCTTTTGTTTGATGAACCTTGTTTTCTGTGAATTTCGTGGTTTCTTTACTTTGAATTTATTATTTTTCTTAAAACTTTAGCTCTGGAAATCCCTAAAGGTTTAGGACCAATTTCTCTGTGTTAACTTTTCTAAATCCTTGGCTTGGGGTTTTATAAACAGTCATTTAATATGAGTTTAGGCTGTGAACAAATGAAGACCAGTGATTTTTCAATTGAGAAAACCTAAAAGCTTTAGAGAAGTCATTTCCTTGTAGTCCACTGGAAGGAGAGGAGGTGAGCTTATTTCTTTACTGCCCTAATACTGAGGATTTAAGCTCTTTGGATCTCCAAATATACTGGTGGGAATGGGAGTGAAATTCAATTAAATTTTTCGTCTTCAATCAGAACAAAGGATTCGTCTCCTTACTTCTGAGTTTTATGAAGCTCCATAGTTATCAAGATGTCTTCCAGATGCCTTCTTTAGTGCTTTTCTTCCCTGGATATCTGCCTTTCACTTAGCTTTTAAGGCATGAGAATTCCATAAAATTTTCCAGAGAATTAATCCAGCATCCGACATAACAGCTCAGTGGCCAAATCCTCGCCTTGCATGTGCCAGGATCCCATACAGGCACCAATTCATGTACCAGCTGCTCCACTTGCCATTCAGCTTTCCAATCAGCTTGTTGCTTGGGAAAGCAGTGGAGGATGGCCTAAAAACCTTGAGACCCTGCACCTGCATGGGAGACCTGGAAGAAGCTCCTGGGCTTCTGGCTTCAGATTGGCTCAGCTCTGGCCATTGTGGTGACTTGGGCAGTGAACCAGCGGATGGAAGATCTTTCGCTCTGTAAATCTGCCTTTCCAATACAAATAAGTAAGTATTTAAAATATATGTGTATAAATATAAAAAAATTAACTCAGCATTTTAAATTGTTTTCATGTGGCGGATGGATTTAGGCACTAAGTCTGATCTGCTGCCAGAATGAGATGTTCTAAGTAATTGTAGCTTCAAAGATGGAAGACTGTTATGCCAGGAAAATGTGCTTCAGAGTTTAAAACTATTTCTATTTCTTTGAACAGCATCTCCTACATTCAGTCCATCACAAGAAATCCTGCTGATGGATTCTGCCTTCAGATTTCTGATTTATTTTTGAATATCTGATTCTCCTGCAGTCATTCTATTTTGCTTAGTTAACCTAGAAGGATTTGGGGGATGTAAGACTTGGTTTGTCAACAATTAACAGATTAAAGTTCCTAAAATATTAACTGGTATTATTATTTGTAATTCTGATCTCCTTTTATAGACTCGTCATTATCATCCTCTACTTAATACTAGGTTGAACACCAGAATGACATCCTTCCAGAATTTAATCCCACCCTGCCTGCCTAAGCACAGAGTTGTATTCAAAACTAGGCCTGTCCTTCCCCACTGAAAAGGCCACATGTACCTTTGCTAACATGTTTTTGATCTATAGTCTTCTTACCCAAATTATACCAATTCTTCCTGGTTTCTCTCGCTGCAGTCTTTCCTGATAACTCTTAACAAGTGTGCTTTGCATTGTGATTTCCCTGAGCTCTTGTTATAACAGTATATACTTTAATTAGGTTGACTACATTTGATGTAATTCTTTGAAGTTAGGCTGTAAGCAGCTTAATCACAAGTTTAATTTAAGCCTGACTCTGAGGTTTGTCCTCTTTCCAAACTATAAAACTGACTCTCCATTTTCAAAAATATTTTTTGATTTACATAAAAAGAAATCATATTTCATAAACTCAGATGTAATAATGTTTCATATTTAACTGTTTAATTTTAGGTTTGCTAGAATAAAACAATCTTCAGTGACATTACAGTTTCTAAACTTTACTCATTTCATAAAGTAGCAAGGGTCTTAGTCCTCTCAAACAGAATTCTGCAATAAAGACAAACATTATATTCTCCAAAGGGAATTACTCACTCTCTGAGTTTCAAACTACACAAAATCATCCTTCAGGATGAATGCCACCCCTGAAATTGTAGGCCTAAATGAACAGCTTACACATTTAGAAATTTACCTAGGGACCATTTCAGTGTTAAACAAAAGATCCTAAAAGTCTTGTTTTATAAACCACTTTGATACTGATAAACAACCAACATAGTTAAAATAGGTTTAATTATACCAAATTACTCAATTCACTTTCTAACAGACTGGACTTCAACAACTATGTCAGGAACTATTATTTGGGGCTTACAATTCAGAACACTCTTCACACATTGATGCGCTTGCCTCTTTTAAATTTCTGAATAATATATAAGAAATCAAACAAGATACTGAATTATATTAAATAACTTGAGGCCAGCTTTCAGTACAAAAATAAAAAACCCCTCCTGCCATTTAGACTTTTAGAAAACAGTTATTTAATTCTATGCCAAATAAAGGAGGACAGACTAGCCAAAGTAAACTCTTGTTAATATTTCTACCATAGGACAGTGTTGGTCTTTCTTACCTGGCCTGTCCCGTCCTTCATCAACACCTACTGGAAGACTTCCTAGGCAATGCAGAAGTCCAGACAAGAGAAGGGAGCACACTAAGATAATGGAGGACAGGCTACAGGAGACGGCAAAGTCAGACATCAGACGGGAGAAAAGAAGGAATTGTCATAGTTAGCCAAGTTGTTCAAGAGAAACTAAAACTGCTTATTTCAAAGGTTGAGATAGGAAGAAAAAGAAAAAAAAAAGAAAGACCTTTTACTTCTTTGTAGCAAGACTCCTTTTAGTAAGAACAGAGAGAAGCTGCAGTTAATTTGGAAATCTACCTTCAGAGGGACAGATATAACTTAGCAAATGATATAAAGGGACAAAAGATCAATATGACACTACAGCTTAAAAATGTTAAGAGATATAATTATGCACTTTGAGAAAAGGAAAAAATCAGGACTATAATACAGAATAAGTTAACACAGTTATTTCTTTAAAAAAACACAGTCTACTACAAGTAACAAGAATTTGATGTTTACATGTAAAAATGATGAATGAGGCATATGTACTTATATATTTAATTACATGGCCTTACACTATGAAAAACAATGAAATTGTCACATTTAACAGTGGGGTTCTTGAACCTGAACAAAGCTTTTCTATATTAGGGACAATCTTGTGCATGTATTTAGATACTACAAAATACCTCCATGACAACACCCAAATCTCTTGTTCAACTACACAGCAGGAGAGGATCCTGCCCCTGGGAGACAAGGTCCAATATAGCCTTTGTAACGTGGGTTTTTTTTCCTCTCAAAGCAAGTAAGAAGAATGCTAGGAAGCCTGAAATCACTCACATTAGCAGTGTGGTTTTGCTTTTTTGCTTAGTCTTATGATTACAGATAGTTTGTAAAAATGGACAACAAGATGCGCCAACCAATAGGATATGGGGCAAAAGAAAATAGAGAACCTAAGAAAAAATATTTTATAACCTTGGGTACAACCAGTTGCTTTGTTATGAAAACAGGTTAAATCCTTTGTATGTGAAATGCAAGTATTTCTGTAAAATTAATAATTATGTCAATAAAGACAAGTTAAACTCATAACATTTCTAAACAAAGTAAATGACGTTTTGTCAACCTTAAATTTTTTGTAAGGTAAAAGAGAATCTATCTACAAGCGAATTCTTCTTTAAAATGTTAAGCATTTCTATCAATTCTGCTAATGTCTGAATACTCTACACAATTTTTTTCAATAAGATACATACCTCATATTCTTTTCTGCAGATTTTGGAAATATCATTCTTTGAAGATGCCTAAAAACCAACAAATTTGTCCATTAACTTATTATATATATACAGTTCAATGTAGGACCAAAAAAAAAAAAAAGACCCACAAATTAATACATAGTAATTGTTGGTAAACTTTTATTTTCTCAAGGAAAAATTGTTGCTCAAGTATTAAAGCGTTCTTAAAGTACAACAAACAAGTCTCATACAATTTTTTAAAAACAAATATTAATCCTAGGACCTACCCAATATATTACAGCTTCACTCTAACTTTCATGGCTTTAATCGCACATAATAATACAGCCCTTTTGTTATTTTAGAAACTGGATGACTTTGAAGGAAATGTAAATCAGAGATTTTTTTAAGCTGAATTCCAGCTGCAGCTAATTTTCTTGTGAAGCTCTGCCAGAGCACTTATGTTTGCTTTTGCTTAACCCTGCTTACTCTAAGTTCTTACATCAGACATTCTGATTCAGTTTCTCAAAGTACCACATACAATGGAATGAGTAACTAAAGAAAGCATGCTATACACCAGGCAGTTAACAAAAGCTATCTTCATGTAATTCTCTTAAGAGGAAGATGGTATTATGCCTGCTGTAGATGATGAAACTGATATTCAGAGAAAGGGCAAGTTATTATTAACTATATTTGAACTTGTATTTTCTATAAAAGCAAACTAAAACCAAGTTGCTAAAGAGTGGTATTCTATGGATCAGCTTTCACTTAGGGAAGCAGGCTTTGGTACCCTTCTCCACGTCTTCCTGTTCTGTTGCCTGGGACTATGCCATTTAGAATATGTCTGCTGATGAGGATGGGGACAGCAAAAAGCAGGAGGGCTAGCAATGGCTTTATGGCCACTAGTTGTACCATAGCTCAAATCCTCCACAACTCAGCTTCACCTCAGTGTCTGGTGAAGAGCAGCAGATACAACGCCATGTACTGTCCCAAGAGCGTCGTCCAGCACAGTACAGTGTGTGAAACTAAGGGTGACATTCTGTCTCAAATACTCTTACCCAGAAACCAGTCTCTAGAAAGAAAAAGTTAGAGAAGGCTTTCTAGCTGTACGATAAGCTTCTCAATTAAATCTGATGTCACCATTTGGAATAGAGAAGTCATGAGGCCACTGGGTAAACCACCATGAAAAAATGCAAAATGCAGAATTCAGAGGCATAACCTAAACTAGAGTAGCACTGATTCAAAGAGAAGTTATAACTCAATCTAGGAGCCATACTCACCTTAGGAGCAGAGAAGGGATATGAGAACATGCTCAGCGTAAACCATGATGAAAGAGAGAGATTCTTTCTTTGCATCCAGAGACAGGGAAAGATAAGAAAGAATAAAAGAAGACTGAGGGTCTTATGTGCAGTGACCACAGCTGAAAAAAGCAGCAAGTCTACAAAGAAATGGTCTATGTAAGAAATGCCGTAAGTTTCAGTTTTGGGGGTTCTCCTCTTCACAAGTTCTGAGTGTAAGGTCTAAGACATATGTGCAGCTAAGACCCAAACCACACTCCATAAGACTTAAGAGCCTGATTGTTGAGTGTTACCTGCTTGCATGCTTGTCGACACTCCAAGGCAATAGCCAGTTCACAGCAGCCTAAGCCAACCCAGCCATCAGACTTCTTAAACACACCTTCAAACAAAACGTTCAATGTTTTGGTCATAAGTAGTGACAAAGACAAATAGAAAGCCCAACAGTTCCACAGATACCACTAAAAATCAAAAGCAGTGCCACAGAAAAACTAGTTCAGTCCCAAAATAACTAAGCTGCTCCCTTAACTAGGCCATCCCGGTGCTCAGCTGTCTCTTTAGGCTCCCTCTCAGAGTATCTATGAGGCTTTTTCTCTTTTTTCCCTTGCCCACCCTAAACTCTCTTTCAATAATTTTTACTGTTGGAGAGGTAGTGTTCCTATCAGAGGACATACAACATAACAAAAGCAAGGAAGAGATCTTCTTTACTTCTTAAAAAAAAAAGATCACCTTTAAAATTCATTTGAAAGGTACAGAGACAGTGATCAGACAGATCTTTTATCTATCGGTTCACTCCCCAAATGCCCAAAAAAGCTGATGTCGGGCCAGGAGTCAGGAACTCAATCAGGTCTCCCAAAAGGGAGGTAGGGTCCCAAGCAGTTGACCCTTGACTTGTTGCTTCATAGGGTGTGCATGAACTGAACGCTGGGATCAGAAGTGAACCTAAGTATTCCATTATGGGATGCAGACCTCCCTAGCAGGTGGAATGCCAGACTAGGGAGTTGAGGTTTCACTCCAAGAAAAGTGGATATTCCCTGATGGATTCTTTATGAAGAGGGAGGAGAAGATTAATACAATGTTATGAAATATCAGTTACAATATTATAATGTTCTACCCAAAGTGTAACACTAAGGATTTGAACTGAGAGTGGACAAGATGCATGGACGCTTCTGTAAGGCAAGAGTAAATGGAACTAGAGAGAAAAGGGAATCAAAGGCAATTTGATGGTTTTCAGTTGAGTGTCATTCACAAGAGGGGCAGTTATGAGTTTGATTTTGAATTTGCATTTCAGATGCTACGTGATGCAGAATTCCAGACAGACATAACTCTAGAAAGTCTAGAAGTCACAAACAATAATTTAGAGTTGAGAGTTACCTTCCCAGAGCTGACCAGCTGGTATTCTGACAAGAAATGTCAAGTATCACGATTATCAGCACCTGCTTATGTGAGCATGAGCCAGAACGCCAACCCCACACTGCACCAACTACAGTTGTTACAACAGGCAAGAGGAGGAAGGTTGGAGAGGACAACTCTAGGCCCAAGGGGGAATGCTGGGAAGTGGTGGTCAGTAACATCAAGGACTGTAGGAAAGTTCAAGAGGAAATACAGATGGTTTCTCATAATGGTTTGACTTGGGATTTTTAAACTTTATAATGATACACAAGAAATATTTATTTAGTAAAAACCACACTTCAGATTTTTATCTTTTCCTGAGTTAGCAATATGGTGTATGATACTCTTACGATGCTTGGGCAGTGCAAGTGATCCATGGCTCAATCCTGGGGCTAAATACTGACACTCTATAGTACGCTATGTTGCTAAGCTAGGACATTCAGTAGGTGGGTGTAGGAAAGGCACTTTCATTTTAGGATGCTTCCAATGTATGATGGGATTTTCAGGATGTAATTCCAGGTTAAGTCCAGGAGCATGTGTACAGAGAAAAGGTCAAAAGATGGCGGGACTAAGAGATTCCAGTGATCTTTCACAGCCTAAGCTTCAGTAGAATGATAGGAGTGGAGACCAAGTACAAAGCTAAGGATTAAATGAGTGACAATAAATCAAACATTTGAAAGTTTAAGTGCTAGAGGAGAGGAGAACACAGAAATTCCAGAATAAGAATTAAGTTAGTCCTGTGACATGGATTTTACATAGACAAAATAAGTTTCTAAGTTAAAGGGCTAAATGTTAAAACTCTATGGCTTACCTGGCACAGATGAATTCATACAACTCCAAATTTCAACCTAAAATTGTAATCACCAAAAAGTTTATATGCACAAAACCAGTTTCCACATATGACAATTTCTACAGAAATAACATACAGCTTATTTGAGTATGGGTATCTCCTAACTGTCAATGCTTTAGGATTGCAGGCCTGTTAGGTATCCAAGAATGGAAAAAAATGAAAGCAGAGATTTAAAAATATCTCACTCCTTTCCAATTTTCCCAACTGAGAGCACTAAGAATGATTACTCATTGGACTTCATTTGCAAGTGCACAGACAAGTTTCTGCAGAGTAACTAAAGGAAAACGTGTCATCAAGAACTGTTAGATCACAAAGTTTTTTCCCTTTCCTCATAATACAAGCCACCAAGTACCAGGATGCAGAAGGGCAAGCAACATGTTTATGAGGATGCCAGATGAAAAGATGGGACTATGAAGTCACATAACTTCCTTTAGTCCAAATTCAACCTTTCAAAAATCAAAATAAGTATCAGACCTGGTTATTATGACTTTTATAAAATTAGTCAAAGTACATTAAGTAAAAATTGCAAACTCCATATAAAATATGATGAAATTTTAAATATGCAAATTTAAATATTTGCATTTAAGATTTTTGGATTTTTAAAAACTTATTTTAATATTATTATTATAATTTTATGAGCTTGCAATGATGGACATATGACTGTTTATGAAGAACTATACTATAGTAATAATATAGAGGAACTCAGTGGGGAGAAGGGGCTTAGGGAGGGGGCAGGGGAAATCCCGAGGATTTTAGATTTCTATTATAGAACAGACAATAAAAGCAGAAGACAATTTGGTATCTAGCAATCTGTATGAAAACCTTTCTATTTAGTTTGACCTAGTGCTTTAGTTTGACCACAAATCCTAATCACATTAAAAAAACACACACACTTGCTAAATCTAAAAGTAACTCATTACTTGGTTTCATTTACACAAAACCCTCTAAATTTAACGTAAGTAAGACATACCATTGTTTCCGGGCAATAATCTGGGGCTCGCAGCAACAGATGTTTTAGTCGAGATTCACTTTTTGAAGAGAATATCTATGCGATTAAAAAAAAAAGGTTTTGTGACATCCTTTATATAAGAAATAAGTTCTTAGATGAAATTTTTCCTCTCAATTTTTACCAGTTATCTAAAATATTTTCAACTTGCTTTTATAAATGGAAAACCTTTGGAAGAATCTAAAATAGCTGAGGTAAGTTTTTTTTTTTAAGTTTGGCAAACAATCATGAAGGTTCAGGGGCTGGTGTTACAGGACAGCATATTAAACCTCTGCTTATGATGCTAGCATCCCCGTGAGTACTGGTGTGCGCCCCAGCTGCCCTCCTTCCAAGTCCGCTTCCTGCTAGTGTACATGGGAGAGCAGCAGAGGATGACCCAGGGATGTGAGTGCTGACCACCCACGGGGGAGACCAGGATGACACTCCTGTTCCTGACTTGAGCTCAGCCTAGCCCAGGCTGTCATGACCTTCTGGGGAAGTGAAACAGTCAATGGATGACATCTCTCTCCACTCTATCAAACAAATAATAATAATAATAATAATAAAAGTCCAAATATAGTAAGGCTAGATCCTTTTGTATTGATCGAAGGTAGAGGATATCGGGTTACCAACCTGTGCGGGCAGGGGGAAGGAGAGGCAGAAGACTAAGAATAAAACAGAAAAGGGAGGAAGGAAGAAAAATCTATCTAACCTGTTATATAAATTGCTTTTAGTTAATAAGTTATGATATAAAGTAGACTATGGAGCCCAGCACGATAGCCTAGTGGCTAAAATCCTCACCTTGACCACACCGGGATCCCATGTGGACACCGATTCTAATCCCAGCAGCCCCACTTCCCATCCAGCTCCCTGTCTGTGGCCTGGGAAAGCAGTCAAGGACGGCCCAAAGCCTTGGGATCCTGCATCCTGCACCTGTGTGGGAAACCCAGGAGAGGCTTCGGGTTCCTAGTTTTGGATCAGCTCAGCTTCGGCTACTGCGGCCGCTTGGGGAGTGAATCAATGGACAGATCTTCCCCTCTGTCTTTCCTCCTCTCTGTAAATCTGATTTTGCAATAAAAATAAATAATTTTTTTTAAAAAAAGAAGTAGGCTATGTTATACCATCAATATTGGTGAACATCAAATTTGTAACTAGCACCATAGTACATAAATTCTCCACAAAATAGACAAAGCCATTTTTAATGCAGAAGCTGAGGAACAGACAAGGTTCACTCGATAGACTGACTCACTTCCAAACTGGGGTCTCAGTAACTTATTCATCATTTCATGTATTAGACAGACCTACGTGGTGATCTGCAAAAAGCTGAAACTGTAAAATACACAAATGCAAGGAAAAGTGAGAAAGGATTTACCTAGTTGACTTGGAAGCCATTTTTCTTCAAAACTATTAGTGATCATTTATATGTGGAAACAGCTAACATATCAGCTCTCTGCAAACCCACATTCACAAATGTATTTAGGCAATCACCAAAAATGACTTCTAATATCACAAAAAGAGACAACCAGAAACAATACAAAGAAAGTAAAAACCTCGCCTTATCTGAATCTCACCAAGCCTCTTTCTCATATACAAATTAATCTTATATCAGTTAAAAAATTCAGCACCTCAGCTTCTTCAGTCATTCTTCATTTGCATTTCATTTGGCACAAGTGGTTAGTGCCTATTATATGAGCACAGAACATTTTCATCACTGTAGAGAGTACTATTGGACAACTCTGCTCTAAATTTAACTACCAACTGCTAAGAAGTACTAAGGGAAATTCTACAAGATGAACCACCAAATTTATTCATAAATAAATTGCCAGGAGAAACTTAAAAATTAAGATACATGAAAAAGGCATATAACCAATTGTTGTACGTATATTTCACTTGGATCCTTATTGAAATCTAAAAAGGGGAAACTTTCTGAATTAAGAAACTGGAATAACTAGAAACTCATTAAATACTAAGTTTTTCAAATAAGTGATAGTGGTATTGTGGTTATTTTTCAAGTAATTATTTAAATTTACACTCTTGGGCCCGGCGCGGTGGCGCAAGTGGTTAAGGTCCTCACCTAGCACGCCCGGGATCCCATATGGGCGCCGGTTCTAATCCCGGCAGCCCTGCTTCCCTTCCAGCTCCCTGCCTGTGGCCTGGGAAAGCAGTCGAGGACAGCCCAAAGCTTTGGGAACCTGCACCCGCGTGGGAGACCCGGAAGAGGCTCCTGGCTTCAGATAGGCATAGTATCGGCCTGTTGTGCTCACTTGGGGAGTGAATCATCGGATGGAAGATCTTCCTCTCTGTCTCTCCTCTCTGTATATCCGCCTTTCCAATGAAAAAATAATAAAAATAAAAATCTTTAAAAAAAACAATAAAAAAATAAAAAATAAATAAATTTACACTCTTAGGGCCTACTGTGGTAGTCCAGTGGTTAAAGTCTTCGCTTTGCATGCACCGGGATCCCATATAGATGCTAGTTTGTATCTTGGATATTCCATTTCCCTTCCAGCTTCCTGCTGTGGCCTGGGAAAATGGTAGAGGATGGCCCAAGGCCTTGGGACCCTGTACCTGTGTGAGAGACCTGGAAGAAGCTCCTGACTCCTGGCTCCTGGCTTCAGTTCAGCTTAGCTCTGGTTGTTTTGGCCACTTGAGAAGTAAATCAGCAGAAGGAAGATCATTGTGTATCTCCTTCTCTCTGTAAAATCTGCCTTTCTAATAATGAACAAATAAATCTTTAAAAAGAAGATATTGCTTTTTAAAAAAGATGTATTTACTTGAAAGGCAGAGTTAGAAAGAAGGAGACAGAGAGAAAGAGACAGACCAAAGGCAGGAATTTCATCCGGGGTTCCCATATGAGTGGCAGGGCTCAAGAAACAGGGCCACCTTCTGCTGTTTTCTCAGATGCATTAGCAGGGAGCTGGATGGGAAGTGCAGCAGCCAGGACGAAACAGTGCTCATGTGGGACACCAGGAATGTAACTTACTGCACTACAGTGCCATAAAAAGGCTCAATCTGATAAATTAAGATTTTAAGAGCAAAAAAATTAATTAATTAATTTAAAAAAAAGATTTTAAGAGCAGCTGAAGTTTGAACACTTACTTAATCTTTACCCAGATATATATCTATACATTATAAACATTTTATAACACTTGCTTATTATTATTTTGACAAACCATTTTATCTATTTATTAAAAAGATTTATTTATGTACATAAAAGTTGGGGTCACAGAGAGAGGGAGAAATAGAAATATCTTCCATTTGCTAGTTTAGTCTCAAAGTATCGGAAATGGCCAACGAGGAGCCATGCTGAAGCCAGGAGCCTAGAGTTTCATCCAGGTCTCTCACATGGGTGGCAGGGGCCCAAGCACATGGGTCATCTGCTGCCGCTTTTTCCAGGTCATTAGCAGTGAACTGGATTGGCAGTGGAACAGCCAGGACACAAGCTGGCATCCATTTGGGAAACCGGCACTTCAGGCTTTGGCTTTACCTGCTATGCCACAATGCTGGCCACATCTTAGAATTCACTACAGACATTACAATCTTCCATCCAAATCCTAGCAAGTATCTCCTAATTATAAGGATACCCATCATACTTTACTACAACATATTTCAAATTCAGGATCATAGCACTGATAGAGTGCTACTAATGAAAATTCAGCCCATTTCCGCATTCAACCAAGGATGGCTGTCACACTGTTTGGCTTTCCTATTGCTTTAGTTTCATTTAATGTGGAACTGTTACTTAGTCTTCTTTTTTATACTGATATTTTTAAAGAGTACAGGCTATTTCTTTTTTTAATTGAGGAATATTCCTCAGTCTGGGTTTTCCCAATTGTCTCCTCATGATTCAGGCTAAATAATTTTTTTTTTGGAACCCTATATAAGACACTGTATTTCTTTTCAGTACATCACATCAGTAGATATGTGTCAATTTGTCTCACTACATAAACCCTGATCGCGGGTCAAGCTGGGATCTAACAAGTTTCCCCATAACCTTTATAATGATTATTGAAGCTTACCTGTTCACACACATCGCGGCACATCTGGTTGTCCTTGGAGTGATTACAACACAGTGCACCTAGGAAGAAACAAATGTTTGATGTCCCATTACTCAGCACAACGACTAAGCTAATTTAGATGTTTATATTAGCCACGCACTCAATAGAATTTATTATCATTCATTTTTTTAAGTTTTTGAATTTCATGCATTTTTATTTTTTAAATTTTTATTGGGAAGGCAGATATATAGAGAGGAGGAGAGACAGAGAGGAAGATCTTCCATCTATTGGTTCACTCCCTAAGTGGCCGCAACAGCTGGAGCTGAGCCAATCCAAAACCAGGAGCCAGGAGCCTCTTCCAAGTCCCCTACGTGGGTGCAGGGTCCCAAAGCTTTGGGCTGTCCTCGACTGCTTTCCCAAGCCACAAGCAGGGAGCTGGATGGGAAGTGGAGCAGCCAGGAACAGAACTGGCGCCTATACGGGATCCAAGCACATTCAAAGCGAGGACTTTAACCTCTATGCTATCGCACTGGACCCTATCATTTATTTTTTTAAAATATTTATTTTTAGGGCTCGGCGCAATGGAGCAGTGGTTAAGGTCCTCACCTTGCATGCCCGGGATCCCATATGGCCGCCGGTTCTAATCCCGGCAGCCCTGCTTCCCATCCAGCTCCCTGCTTGTGACCTGGGAAAGCAGTCGAGGACGGCCCAAAGCTTTGGGACCCTGCACCCATGTGGGAGACCCGGAAGAGGCTCCTGGCTTCAGATCGGCACAGCACCGGCCGTTGGGCTCACTTGGGGAGTGAATCATCGGACAGAAGATCTTCCTCTCTGTATATCTGGCCTTTCCAATAAAAAAATAATAAAAATAAATCTTTAAAAAAATATATTTACTTTTACTGGAAAGGCAGATGTACAGAGAAGAGGCTGGCCTACTTTCCAAATGGCCGCAACAGCAGCAGAGTCGATTCAAAAACAGGAGTCAGGAGCCTCTTCCAGGTCTCCCATTCACGTGCAGGGTCCGAAGGCACTGGGGCCTTCCTCCACTGCTTTCCCAGGCCACAAACAGGGAGATAGATGGGAAATAGAGCAGCCAGGACACGAACTAGCACCCAGATGGGAAGACAATACTGAGAGGTGGAGGCCTAGCTAGTTGAGGCAATGTGTCAGCCCCATTTCATTCCTTTTGCTGCACCCTTTACTGAGTATCTACTCCAAGTCAAGGACAGATTAGATCCTACAGACATGGTCTCTGCCTTCAAGGAGCCTGCTGTCTAGCAAGGGAGACTGTTATATGATAACAGTAGCACTACAGATCATGTACTTTCCATATTTCATGTATTATCTTATTCAGTGCTTATAGTCCCTCTATAGACTAGATTCTAGTATTGTATTATAGGTTACTAAGTTACTAGATCTCGTAACCAACAACACAAAGTCAACTAATATATGTGAATTTTGGTTTTGGACAGGATGATTTTCAGGTTCCTATGAGACAGCTAGACGGAAATCCCAATAAAGTCGGAGATTCAAGCCTGGAAAGCAAATAAATAAAGCCAAGTCCAAAGATGCAAGTTTGGAAGTTATTAGCATAAAGGAGCTATATGAAACGGATGGCACTGATAAACGAGCATTTCTAGCAGGAGGCGAACATAGCAGCAGATTCCAAAGAACAGCAACATCTGACCTGAGAAAAAAACAAGTAAAGAGACTCAGATGAACACTCAGACATGTGGGCCAACCACAAGAGAGCAGCATTTCAGGAGCGGAAGCAGTGTCATGAGCCCCAAGAGTGAAGTTAGGAGGACTTGCTCACGAGAAGGCCACCTGACGGCCTTCAATGTCCTCTGTGCTACTGAGGAGTCTGCCTGAGCTAAGAGAGCACAAACAGTGAAGAACAGAGACTGAAGGGTCACAGGAAGCACCCCCTCAACTCCTGCTTCTATTTTTTTTTTTTTTGAGTGAGAAAAAGTGGGCCTTTATAGGCAGCAGGAGAGAAGTCCTGCTTCTCTGACAGATGACAAACCAAACGCATCAGATGAGCAGGTGTCACCCTTGGACGGAAGCAGCAAATCCCTCTTTCTCCAAGATATTTACCACTTTAAATTTTGTGAACAGATTATTAAGGCCTTGACTTATTCACTCAATAATCATGTGTTTCTATTCCCACAGAGATTACATTCTTGGGAAGAAGGCAGATGCGTCTGTATACATACATATATATGTGTACCTATATATATATTCTTAATATGTATGTGAGAGAGAATATGCAGTAGTAAACACTATGGCAATAACAAAGCAGGTTAAAGAATAGATGTGTCCAGCACCATGGAGTAGCACATTAAGTTTCTGATTGAGGCACTGGCACCAAAATGGGTGTGAGTCTGAGTCCTCCCTACTTTCTCAACCAAATTCAGTACAAAAATTATAGAGTTGAGGGGCCAGTGTAATAGCTCAATGGCTAATCCTCCACCTGCAAGCACCCTTATCCGATATGAGTGTTGATTATCCCAGCTGCTCCATTTCCCTTCTAGCTCCCTGCTCTTGGCCTGGGAAAGCAGCCAAGAATGGGCCAAAGCCTTGAGACCCTGCACCTGTGTGAGAGACCTGACAGGAGCTCCTGGCTCCTGGCTTCAGACTCTTCAGCTCCGGCCACTGTGACCAGTTGGGGAGTGAATCAGCAAACAGAAGATCTTTCTTGTTGTTTCCCCTCCTCTCTGTAAATCCGATTTTCCAATAAAAACAAACAAATCTTTTTTTTTTTTTAAACAAGACAAAGTGAGTGGCAATAGCAGGCTAACTCCCTCCCTTGTTGGTGCCAGTTCATGTCCTGGCTGCTCCATTTCCAATTCAGCTCTCTGCTTTTGACTTGGGAAAGCAGCAGATGACCAAAAAGTTCTTGGAATCTTGCACCTATGTGGGAGATCTGGAAGAAGCTCCTGGCTCCCAGCCTAGACTAGCCCAGCTCTGGTCACTGCAGCTGTTTGGGGAGTGAACCAATGGATGGAAGATTGCTCTCTCTCCAACCCTCCCCCTCTTCGTCTGCCTCTCCTATATAGTTGACTTTCCAAGTAAAATATAAATGAGAGAAAAGGAGTAAAAATATTGTATTTTAGGTACCTACATATGGTACAATGGTTCAAAAAATATTTTTAGGGACTAGTGTTGGCCAAGTAGGTTAAGCTGCCATCTGCAATGCCAGCCGCCCATATCGGAGCGGCTGTCATGCTTCTGACACAGCTTCCTGATAATGCGCCTGGGGATGCAGCAGAAGACGGCCCATGTTCTCGAGCTCCTGCCACCCAGGTAGAGAATGCAAGCGAGGTTCCTGGCTCCTGGTTGCAGCTGGACCCAGCCCTGGCCACTGCAGTCATTTGTGGAGTAAACTAGAAAGATACAAGATGTTTTCTTTATCTACCTTTCAAATAAACAAACCGCTAAAAATATTTCATTTAAAAGATACTTATTATTATTATTAAACTAATAAACATTTATGCGTGAATCTATAAAGTACTTCAGAATGTTCATGGGAAATGTGCGCCTTCTCTATGTGGTCTCTGGGTGCTCGGGGACTCTGGAAGGCACACCCCGCCCTCAGTGTGAAGTGAGTAAGCCTATACACAGTGCCTCAACAGAAAATCACCTTTTAATTCCATTTTCTGGGAACTTTTTGAAGTACCTTCACACACATATCCTACAACATAAGCCTCTACTCAAATGAAATAACACCATTTTGGTATACAAATTAGGTAATAATTGTGCTTTTTAAATTACAAGTATGATTGACACGGGGGAAAAACAGATGAAAGAAAAAATGAGTAAAAGAAATTCTCTTTGGATCTTACAAACAAGGCTTCTAAGCTTGAAAGTAGAAATCTTTTCTCAGAAAACAATGACAAGGTTTGATATTGGCATATTACTATGGCTTTCATTTCATAAAGGACCAATGTGGAGGTAGCTGTGACTACTGCTTCTAGGAGAAAAGGTGTTTTTGAAGTTCTAAAAATAGCCTGAAGAACTTGAAAACATTTCACTAAGTTTCAGTGCCTTGTGTGGCCCATGCTCTCGTTCGGGGAGGCTCTCCCAGAGCGCGTCCATCTCCTCTGCCCCGCTAACCCAGCTACCCGCACGGCGTTGGCAGAGCCTCATCAGAATGGAAGGGCAGGCGGGCACAAGGCTCTCCTGCAGGAGACGGATATTCTCTTCTGAAGTGCTCCAGCAGCTGGCCTCTTCTGTCCTGAACGCAAGGGTCACGCGAGGGCAGAGAACCAGCTGATCACGAGTACTCATCAGTCAGGATGACACATGGTCTCAATAAGCACAGGCTGAGCAAAAGGCACAGCACCGGCCAGACAGGCTTCTCGTTCGGGTCTGGGGATTTTAAAACAGTTTCTTTGTGCAAAATTCCATTTAGAACAGAAACACAAAACTTATGTTACAATCAAAACGACAATAATATAAACACCAATATAAAAGTCTATTTTTCTGTTTCATGACAAAGGTCAAGTTTTCAGAAGAAGGGCCGCCAAAGTTAAAGCACTTCCTTTTTCATTATGAAAACCACTCCAAATTTAATGATCTACACTCCTTAATATCTTGCCACAATCTTTGTTGACATTTTGGCATATTTCCTTCTGGTCTGTCCAAAAACCTTTTCTGTTGTTTTTGACCAAATCAGATGAAAGAGACAGCCTGAAGTCTTTTGGTAACAACCCCTGGCCTCCTCCCCCTAACCAAGCACATGTCCAGCCTTGGAGGTCTGCGACCCTCACAAACACACTGGGCCCGCTGCTCCATTTTATCATCCACACCACACTTTCAACCTCAGCCATGACTGTACTAGTACATATTCATCTTTTGTTGAAATAATAATAGCTTATTAGAACCTCCCACACTATATATATATATTTTTAAAGATTTATTTAGTTTTATTGGAAAGGCAGATACACAGAGAGGAGGAGAGACAGAGAGGAAGATCTTCCGTCCGATGGTTCACTTCCCAAGTAGCTGCAACGGCTGGGACTGAGCCAATCCGAAGCCAGGAGCCAGGAGTGCAGGGTCCCAAGGCTTTGGTCCATCC